GACTGTCACACCAGACTAGAGCATGGTGGTTTCTATAAAGATGAAAGAAGAGGGCACCATTGAGAGATGATTATGAATTGTTAGGAACTGAAGAACTTGGAGTGAGGGAACTGGATATAAAGATGATTCCAAAATTTCTGGCTTAATCAAGTAGGTTGTAATAATGCTGTTTATTGCATTAAGGAAAGAAGCAAGCCTGGGTAAAGATAACTTTGGATATAGGCAAAACTGAGGTGCTAGTGGAAATGCAGCAGGAGGTATAGAGTAAATTGAATCTGAAGCTTGAAGAAGTTTGGACTGGAGAGAAACATTTAGGAGTTATTAACTCATTTTGTTGGCACTTGAAACTTTGGGAGTAAATGATCTTTCAGCAGGAGAGCAGGGGATCCAGGAAGGGATCTGGGGTAGATGGATAACTGAAGAACGCAACAATTTAAAAAAGGAAAAAATGTACAAAACACCCAAGAATGAAGAATAACAGGACGTCCAGGTGAGAATGACACCATGAAAGCCCAAAGGGAGTTAATATGTCAACTCTAAGAGAAAACTGTTGTTTCCAAATGTTGCTGGAATATGTCATTTGGGTTCAGTGTCACTGCTAGGATGAGAGGGATATTGTTTCCATGAAGTGGTGTGAATGGAAGTATATAAATCTCTTTCAAAAAAGTTCTTTCATGAAGGAGAGGAGATAATAGAATGGGAGCTGGGGAATTCTGCCAGCTCAAAATAGAAACATCTGCCAGCTCTTCCTAAAGAAATGTGAAAACCTCTTCCTAGGAAAGTGTTCCATCCAGCATTGAAATGAGAGGATTCATATTTGCTTCAGGCATTTAGCTCACATTCCATATTGAATGTCAGAGACACTGCATCTCATGGACAGGACACGTGCTTCTGCTTCAACTCTATTTAGTCAACATTTTAATTGGACTTTTTATAGTGGGTTTGAAATTCTGAAGCTCATGACAATCTCCTTCGGACAGCTAGTGGGAGAGTGAGGAGTGGTGATCTGCTTAAGGGGTTGAGGGAACCCTGGGGAAGACTCCAGAACTCAAAATAAGGGACATAAGATTTCTTTCTGAACATTACACCATTTCTGGATGTTACATTTTTCAAAGTTACCTTAGTGAGCTAGCACTGTTTTCAGGCCAGAAAAGAATGCAAGTTATGGACAGACTGTCCTAATTAAGTCACAAATGTATTGTTCAGAATTTGATGCAGAAAAAGAAGGTAGCAAGGTACCTTTTGGTTCTCCTCATCCCTTCCAGCACAGTCTGAAATAAAGTAGGAGGGGCCCCATGCTGAAAGGCCCACATTTCACAGACACCCCAAGATGTGGTGAAGATAAGCACTATCAGGCCACTTGAGCTCTGTGACAATGGATTCAAACATATCCCTCCAACTCCAGGCTCACCAACTAAACTTTGCAAAGATAATTCAGTTTCCCATAGAGTTTGCTATAAAACCATGCTCATATATATCTATTTTGAAATTTCTCAGATCTCTGGTAAAGGTTACTCTTTTTCATTTATTTTTAAATTTTTTATTATTTTTTCTTACATCATTGTTCATTTTGTGTAGTAACTGGTCTCTCCCTCAGATGTATTCCCCATAGCTTTCCTGCACCATGTCACCTTAAGCAGCAATGTATCATCTGTCACATTACTGAATGCTCATAAATATATTGATTTTATCTTTGGTTTGCAGATCTTTGTTTCCTAGTTTTATCAACATAAGGAATTATGTTTAGTTTAATGTTTGCACAAATTTTAGTTAAAAAAGTGTTAAAAATAGTAATCAAATCCTGAGGACCTGCAATAGTATTTTTCTGTTGAAATAGGTTTGCTTATTATTAAAGTTTTGAGAAATACTGTCAAAACTGAAAAAAAAAAGAAAAACCTATTACACTTAAATTAGTCATTCCATTTTATGTCCAATAACCATACTGTGACTAGATTCCTCTCTTTTCATCACTTCAAAAATTAGAGAGTGATTTTCTTTTCTAAGTCATTTAAAAAATGAAGTTTTGTTTTTTTAAGCAACAGGTTTAGGTTGCAGAAATATTGAGAAGAAAGTACTGAGTGTTCTTACGTATTCCCTTTCCACACATAATTCCCCCTATTTTTCCACATATTGCATTAGTGTAGTAAATTTATTACAAATTATTAACTAAAGTCCATGCACTACACTACGTAAAAGCCAGTCTATAAGTTTTGACAAAGCCTAATAACACGTATCCACCAATACTGTATATAGAATCAAACACACGAGTTTCTCTGCTTTAAAAATACTCTGTGCTCCACCTGTTCATCATTTCCTATCTTCCTGAAAGTCCCAGCAAAATCCATATTTTTGCCTTTTCTAGTGTCACATAGGTGGATTTAGACAGTATGTAGCTTTTTCAGACAGATTTCTTTCACTTAGCAATATATTTTTAAATTTCCTTTATTCCTTTTCATGTCTTGATAGCTCATTTCTTTTTATTGCTAAAAATATTCCATTGTCTGAATGAACCACAGTTTGTTTATCCGTTGACATCTTGGTTGCTTCCAAGTTTTATCAATTATAAACAAATCTGCTATAAACATCTGTGTTCAGGTTTTTGTGTGGACATATGTTTTCAACTCCTTTGGATAAATATGCAAAGGTCCTTTGGGTAAGGAGTGTAATTACCCAATCGTGTAGTGAGAGTATGTTTAGTTTAATAAGAAACTGCCAGACTGTCTTTCAGAGTGACTGATGTTTTGTGTGCCCACCAGCAATGAATGAGAGTTTCTGTTGCTCTACACCCTTTGCCAGCATTTGGTCTTTTACAGTGTTCTGGATTTTAGCTATTCTAATAGGTGTGCATCTTAGCCATTTTTGAACAGAATAAATACTTTGGGACAATTAGTGTATATGCCAAGATGAAGAGAGATTGAGGAAAAAAAACTTTGGATATGGCTCCTTGGTGGTGGACCGGCTCACTCCCTAGATAAATGGTTTTTATATACTATTCTCCTTAGATGAGATAAAAATCTGCCTCAAGGGGTCTCCCTGTTGGTACAGGTGTTATAGATAGCACTACAAAGGTATCACCACCCACTGTAGCACAGGTCAATCCCTGGACTGCTGGCCAGGAAGCTGACCCACAAGTCGCAGCAGACCTCTCCTGTCTCACCCACTGCTCCCCTCAGCAGTGTATTTCAGTAGATCCACCTGTTCTGCTCCCCACTCCTCTCACTCCCTGCACCTCCAGCTTACACCCCAGTTCTTGTATGCATAAATAAGTAAATCTAAAAAAATCTGGCTCAAGAGACATCAGAAATGAGAACTTTGCTTACTAGTAAATGTTATATCTTTGGATTACATTAGAATGCCTAATGCATTTAGGGTGATAGCTTTAAAAGAAGAAAGGACAATAAGCTATATAACACTCATATGGGTAGTTCCACATTTGAAGATTTATACTTATGATTACTAGGAGAGGAAATAAAAAGTATATATTCTGAAAATAAAACTATGTGATGTACTTTAACAACTCCAGATACCATTTGGACGTCATCTTTGAACTAAGCAAGTCGTCCCAGTCTTTCATACGCTGGTGCTGTGTGGAATCAAATTGCCTTCCTGGAGGTGGCAGAGTCAACGCTTTTTAGAAATGTTGGAATTTTGTGTAGTGCTAAAAAAGAAAAAGGTTTGAATTGCAAATATAAGATACACACAGAATATTTTAAATGTGTTCATTTTCAAAGGTATTTATAAACAATGCCAATTTTCTTTTTCATGCAATCTCATCAAATCCTCTAGAAACCACTGTTTCCATGACTAAAAAAATGAAAACAAAAACAAAGGCAAAGAATCTCTAAACTCTTATTTATTTAGCCCTCTTATTAAATTCTGCTTTTCTCACATAAAAGAGGGAGAGAAGGATCCAATAATATGAAAAACTTATTGTTAAGTTAAAAATATACCCCAGGCATTATAGGGATATAAAGCAGAATAAGAGTTTTTAGAGAAAGTCAGTCACAGTGTTAAGGATTATACTACAGACAAGAATTGAAGCATAATTAATATTGAGGACTTTTAGAACAAAGCATGCATGGCCTCCTGTTGTAAATGTCTTTATCCCCTTTACCAAAGAAATATAACCTCCACATTTTTTTTCATGTCAAATTCCAGGAAAATATAGAATCCAGTCTAATGAATTTTGTGGGCTTCTACTTGATACTGAACAACATAATGATTACTATACTGGGAGAAATGATATGTTGAAATTTTAGTTCTCATAATAGATTTGCTCAACTGAAACTTTCCAATAATCTATCCAAGATATTAGTCATTCATTTGAGAATAAATGTATAAGGAAAAGTTAAATAATAAAGCAACAGTAAATTTTGAAGACCATCTTTATTGCTGGATTCTATTTTCTAAATTTCACTGAACAAAACCCCAGTGTTTAATCTTGACTATACCTAAGCTAACTTGTGGTTGCAGAATGGTGATTCTCAGCCAGTGATGATTTTCTGCCAGGGAAGATTTGGCAATATCTGGAAATGTTTTGGTCTGAGAATAGACAGTGGTGTCCAGGGGGTAGAGGCCTGGACTGTTGTTGAATGTTCTATAATGCATTGAACAGCTACTGCAACAAAGATTTATCTGACCCCAAATGTTACTGTTGCCAAGGTTGATAAACCCCTGCTTTAGAGGGATAAGCCATGAAAAATCACATTTTCCTCACCTTTAAATAACCTTAATAAGTATGTAAATATCCTATGAAGTGCTTTTCTCAAAACCCAAACAAAACTATATAAAACATTGTCAGGTCAATGTACACATATTGTTTTAGAAAAGCTTTCTATGACATTAAAGGCCATAAGTGGAATACATGTATTGCCTATGTTTATTAAAGGTAATTACCAAATAAAGCACACCAGCAACACCTCCCCATTTTACCTGATACATAACAAGACAATAAGGCATGACTCTGTGCAATTTATGCTTTATAACGGGGTAGCTGTTTGAAAATATAGCTACTGCACTGTCCTCTGGCTCACTTTGAAAAGTGGTGGTTCTGAAAGCTTATGGTACTATTTTTTACTCTTCTTGGTCCTGACTTCTTGTATTCCTGTGTTCCTGCTTCTCATTTGCCTTGGTTTGTTGAGAGAGAGAGAAAGAGAGAGAGAGAGAAAAAGAGAAGGGTTATGGCCACATAGACAAGCTCAGATAATTAGATAATTTTTCTTTAAGGAATATTTCACTTGAAAACAAGAATTTAGAATTTCACAAAGTCAGATTTTCCTTTGAGAAATATATTTAATTACAAATAATATTCTTCCTATGAAATATCTTTTTTTTTCTTTAAAGAAAATGATATCTGAATGTGTTTGCACTTAAAACCATATTTATCCTTTAAGTGCAATTTCAAACAAAATTATGAGCTGTGTTCTATTTGTGATTACTCTACATGCAATAAGACGATGCCATTTTATAAAGCTACTTAAACATAGTTGTTTTTCCCTGAGAAAGAGAGTTAAAGCAGATCAAAGTGAAATGAAAGAATTTTTAAAAAGAAAACATTAATTCACATGACCCCCTCAGGAAAAAAAAAATCATTAGAAATATGTAAAAGCTTATTTCAAAAGAGATCATAATAGACAAATAATTTGACTTCATTTCAATATAATAAAGGTTAAATCTTTTAAATTGCCCGAACCTGGTACTGTGTTTTTCTCTAAAGCAGGCATTATGTGGGTGGACATGTTGATAGTTCTGTTAAGAGAGCTATAATCTCACAAGGTGACTTACCTATGAAGTTCTTCAGGATTCCACACACAAGACATCAGAATGAATTTTCATGTTTTATTACGCCACTCTGCATTCTTATACTCATTCAATATAAAGACAATGTTCAGCTAGGGGTGCGTTCTAGAGAGAGCTATGCCAAGAAACTTTCTCTTTTCTAACAGAGGGACAATTTTTCATTAACTACTACGTGCTATATCCTTAGTTATTCACAATGATACTGTGTTTTTCCAATTTTCTCTGAGAAATCCTATGTTTATCCAATTTTAAAAGATTCAGATGCTTCTAGGATTTTCAGAGCAAATCAATAGAGGTATTGAATTTTATCTAATTTAATAAAAATTCTAGAGTAGACATGTGAAGTCATATCCATCATTAAAAATTTAAATCAAAGTGAACCAGAGGGAGGGAAGGTGATAGGGTATTAGCAACGGGCTAAGGTTGAAGATGAGTGAAGCATCTGCACATATGAAAGTGTGAAGTTAGGGCCTCCCTGGTGGCGCAGCGGTTGAGCGCTGGGCTGTGAACCTGCCCGCAGCCTCTGCAGCGCCGGTTTGATCCCCGGCTGCTCCCCGGCCACTGGAGGAGGGTCCCACATGGCGTGCAGACCTCTCCTGCTGCCCGCTGCTCCCCTCAGCAGTGTACTTCGGTCCTTCTGCCTGCTCTGCTCCCCGCTCTGGCTCTGGTGAATTCTCTCGCCCTCCCACGCTTCTGACTGTACCCAGTGCTTGTATAAATCAATCAATCAATCTTGTATAAATAAATAAATAAATCTTTTAAAAAAAAGTGTGAAGTTAAATTTCTAAGTTACATAGTTGGTAAATGACTGGAAAATCAATAAAAAATAAAATTATAAAAGAGTGTGAGGGCCTCGCAGGCAGTTGAGTGCAGCGCTGTGAAGCTGTCCGCAGCATCTACAGCGCGGGTTCGACCCTGATCGGCCGCAGAAATACCCACATGGTGCAGCAGACCTCTCCTGTCTTGCCAACTGCTCCCCTCAGCAGTGTATTTTGGTGGATCTGCCTGTTCTGCTCCCCGCTCTGTCTCTGTTGAATCCTCTTACCTCTTGCATCTCTGGACTGTACCCTAGTTCTTGTATGCATAAATAAATCTTTAAAAAAAAAAGAAAGTGAACCTTGATTATATTTCTAATAATGTATACATCTAATACCATGTAATTTAAATCTCAATGAATCTCTGACTTGAAGTGTGTGTCAATGTTATTAAAATAGCCATTTATATTTTGTAGTGTACTTGAAGTCGAAAATATACTTTAAGGCTAATAAGATGAACAACAAAGTTTCTGTTTACAGAAATGGCAGTACAGGACATGAATAATCATCTAAGGATTAGATTAACTATTTGATTGCAAGACTTTCGAGTGAGAATAGTGTAACTCTAGTTTTTAGCTCACCTGATATAGTGTGCCCTGGGAACTCATTACCAAACTTTCCAAAGGGCATTTAGTTTTGGCATTGCCCTATTGGATAATATTGCTCATTGGTTGGGTATGTAACTGAGTGCAATTGCAAATGGTTTCCAATACTTATCCCAAAGGAATTTTAAAAGCAGAGAATACTTTTCCCATTCAGAATAAACCTTTGACCTATTTTTGAATAGATAAACACTATACTCATGATTAATTGCTTGGTATGCTGTGGCCTATGATACTTGTTTGGCAGCATTGTGCCTCTGGAACACAAAACTTTATGATTCTTCTGGTACCTATTTTGCAGAGTTACTGGTGGCAGTGCCTAAATACCACATTTTGACAAAATGATCTGATTACATATGTGATGCCTAAAACCTGAGTTTATTTTCAAGCCAGACCCTAAAGATTTTAGAGTGTTCTGCACCATTCTAACTTCTTTTGCTATTTCTACTACAGAAAATTGTCAATCTACTTGAATGTTGCAGTGGCAACTAATGTCAAACTCTTCCATTTTGAGTCTTACAAATTTGGACCACAAATTTCCCTCATATGAATTCACTGCATATAGGCCTAAATGCTTTAGAAACCAAGGTATTCTTTTTTTTTTTTAAGATATATTTATTTATTTATGCATACAAGAGCTGGGGTACAGGCCAGAGGTGTGGGGGTGAGAGGGTTCACCAGAGACAGAGTAGGGAGCAGAACAGGCAGATTGACTGAAATGCCCTGCTGAAGGGAGCAGTGGATGAGGCAGGAGAGATCTGCTGTGCCATGTGGGTCACCTCCCTGGCCAGGGATTGAACTTGTGCTGTAGTAGTTGTGGATAGCTTCACAGTGCTGCATCTTAACCACTTGTGCCACCAGGGAGGCCACAAAACCAAGGTATTCTCTAAAACAATGTTTCTCAAACTTTAATATGCATCAAAATGACCTGATAACTTTGCTAAAAGGCAGGTTCTAATTCAGTAGGTTTGTGTTGGAGTCTGAGATTCTTCACGTACAACAAGCTCCTAGGTGCTGCTGCTGCTGCTGTTCCCTCTGTAGCACGGCTATAAGAGGCACACCAGATGAATCAGGCAGTTGAGTTATAGCAACTTATTCTTTAGGCGATGTAGTTCCACAGCTCTTGTGCAAAATATTTTCCTCCTACTTTATAATAACTTCACTTAAAGAAATTCAGGTATGAAAGGAAGAGGCTGCCAAAATGGACACACAATGAAGAAATGCTCCTCTTTTCCACCAATCTGAAACTTTGTAGGTTGGTTAAAACAGGCTAAATCTTAGAGACACTGTCTACATACTTACCTGAAGGAAATCTCCCTGAAGTTAGCCCAGGGATTCTCGGGGCCAGCCCTCATGGGGCGATGTGACCAAGACAGAGGTAGATGCCTGGGATAATATTCCAAAGTAAGTCTTTGTAAGATTTTCAGAGGGTATTCATTGTGTGTATAGATACAATTAGATGTATTCAATGTAGATATGTGTGTGTATGTGCAGGTATGTATATGTGTGTGCTTCCTTCAAAATAGACCAGAGACAGAAGGACATAGTTTCTTAAAAAACACCACCACAGGGGAGAACATTAATGCACAGTTACAATTGGGTTTGCATTCCCTCTTCAGCACTATAATGTTTCCAATCTGCTTTCCAATTCTTCGTATGGTTCTAGCAATTGTTTGCCATTTTTATCATCTCACCTATTTTTCCCTTAGATAATATTTCCTGTTTGTGGCTGACATGGATTTCCATTTCAGTGAATTTCACCAGCACAATTCCTTGAATCTGAAAACTGTACAATATAACCAATGGGTTAAATTATCTACCCACGGAATATACATTTAGTTGCCCAGTGTTAGGCAAAAACAACAACAACAACAAATAACCCAGTTCTTTATTACTTCATCTCTCCTAAACATTTACTCATTAAAATTAATGACATGTGAAAACATATAGAAGAAATGAATTCAATATTCCTTTTTTCCTAGAGAAAAAAGGAAACTATCAATAGTATAATTGACTTTAGAAAACATTCCTTACTTACCTTGATTATTGTCTTGTTATAAAACAGACCACTGTTCTGTAGTTGGATGTTAAATAGGAATATGTTCCCTATCAATGATGATGATTTTTTCTCTTGAATTGCACAATTACAATTATTAACAGCATTCGTGAGTTAGTATCATACTAACTAGTTAGTATGATACTAATAAATATCCCCTATCCACAAAAGTTTGACTAAGATAATCAGATTGTTTGTTACCTCTACAGGAGTTTAATATAAAATTACATTTTGAAGAACCCTAAGTTAAAAAACAAACAAGTAAATTCTGTTGTTTCTAGGTACTTAGTAAACATTAATACACATTTCATTATCAGCATGCATAAACTACTAGCAATAAAAAAGAATGCACAAAAAATTGTTCTTGAAATAATCATATATTCTTCAATAATCTTGAAAAAATGACCTTGAAATAGCTGTCTTTAAGAACTCACATTTAGTACTTCATATGGAAAATTCAAATATAATAGCCAATGGAATTTTAAAAAACAACAACAGCTGCTTCTTGAACATTGATTTATGATATTGTTATTACAGTTAAATAAAAGAAGCCTCTAAGTTCTATTTAGAAATAACTCTTTGGATTTCTGTCTATGAAGAATTTAAATGGGTTTATACTTGGAGTTGATTTATAAATATATATATATGAATAATATTTTCCCCTTTCTATCAGCTGTCTGGGAATTCCACTTGAACTATACTGGTTTTTAACTATACATTTGAAAAATCTGGAGTTGTGCCAAGTATTGAGTCTTATAGCATGCATATAAATATATGTATTACACCACTGTTAAAATAAGGAAAATCTATCTCTTCATTAATTCTTGGCCATTAGTTGCTTATGGAACTGGCACC